GTGACATTGCTAAGGTTACAACGGCTCAAATACAAACTACACTCAATAAGGCACAAGCTCAAATGTCAAGAATGGGAACAGAACATGACTCAAGACTGGTTTTACAAAGGTTGTGTGGACAGATGAGATGAGAGTGACACTTGATGGACCAGATGGATGGTTCCATGGATGGACATCTTCAGGCACTGAAAAGGTGGAGGAGTGCTGGTGTGGGCTGCAATTATCAATGATGAACTTGTAAGACCTTTCCAAGTTACAGACGGTATAAAAATTAACCCCAAGATCTGCTGTCAATTTCTACAAGACACTTTCTTTAAACTCTGGTGAAGTAGAGGTCAGCAGCTTTCAAAAAGGTTATGGTATTCATACAGGACAATGCCCCAACCCATGCATTAAAGCATTCAATAAATTCTCTGGCCGAGAAAGACAAGAAAGGTGATCTAATGATGACCTGGCCTCCTTCATCGTCTGACTTAAACCCCAGTGAGAACTACTGCGGCTTAGTAAAGTGTGAGATTTGTCAAGATGGCAAGCAGTACACGCCTCCGAGCGGCGTCTGCGAGGCTGTCCTAGCTGCCGCACCTAATATAAAACGTGATAAATTCAAAAACTTGACAGGCTCAATGGATAATAGGCTCAGGATGGACATCAAGATGAAAGGTGCCTATACAGGACATTAAGCTTGGTGAGGTGGACTGTATAGAACAGCTGATAGCTAATTATCCTCTATTTTATAGATCGAATAACAAACTTTTTAAATTATTTCTGTGGATGATGAAGTGAGAAAAATCCACTTACTTTCTGATTGCCTAATAATTCTGCAGACTGATAAGTGTTTTTCTTTAATTTTTGTTTGTGAAAGACTAATGTGACATTTTCTCTCTGGATAAATTTATTTTCATGACTTATGAATTCACATTTATCACACATTACTTGAGTACTGCATATTTTTTCATTTGTTTGCACTGCACTGTTTGCACTGTCTGCACAGTCTTTGCACTTTGTTTTGCACTATATGTACGTTCATCTGTGCACTGCATACTTGCTGCTGCATGCAGAAGAATTTCCTCTTGGGATCAATGCAGTTTATCTTAATCCTGATTTTGGCTTGAAGTTAGCCGGCCCTTTCTTGACTTGCCGGAATGGCCGTTAGGTGAGGTGCTTTGAGAAAACCGTGGGCTCCTCTGCATTCCACATGCTCTCGTTTCACAGTGAAGGAGGTAACAGTTATGAGTGTTTCAGCTTCACTGACATTTACTTTAATTGGCATCTCCACACAGATGTTGCGAAGATAGGCAGCCACCTTCTCAGATTCTTTGTGAACACTTTGAAAGATCTGAAGGTCATTTTGGGGGAAAAAAACCTCAAAAGAAAAGAACTGAGCAAAAAATTCTGAGGAAAAAAGATGACGGTATAGGTTAACTTTTTTTATTCCAATTCAAAGAACACTTATGGTGGCCTGTTATTTGTGTTTGTGTAATGAGCATGTTTACTTCCTGATTGTTTCTGGTGATAGTGCTGATTGTCTTTCATGTGCTGAGGGCACCATCGGGGTGAAACACACAGTGACAAGACACATTAACATGAAATACAACCGTACACTGCTAAAGTTCCAGTGTTGATGTAAATGTTACTTTATCTTTAAAAAAAAAAAATGATGGACGTCATTGTCAATACTTGTGTTTGAGACTCCATTAATGAATACTGTATTTATGTCAGTTGTGGTTAATAATGTGATAACCTGATACAGCCTTCATTAATAGTATGGTTATTGTTAGGGGCTTGTACTAAGAACTCAATCCGAAGGCACTGACTGTGGTCATATGTATAATAGAGAAATGAAAAAGCAAATATTTCAAAATCAGGAAATGCCCAGGAATGGTGTGGAAAGAGCCCAAGCCAGAGCATTTAAATTAATGGACGTTTTCATCTTGGTTCAGAGCTGTGTCCTGTGGTAATGTGAGGCAGCGTGACTTGTTTAGAATACAAATACAGCCCATCTGACATGCTACAAAACATTAAGAGAATGGCTGCCTAATTTCCTTTATTTTTTGTCACAGCAGAGAGAATAGCTGCTATTATTATTATGAGGAGAATTAGCTTAACACCAGACATCCATCTGCATGTGCAGTGAGCTTTGTGTCACCACCAGGGAGCCCAGTGTCAATGCCCATCTTAGGGCAGCTGTGGCTGTTCATCCAAAGGTTTTCCGAAGCCTCCCCTGTGCCACACCAGTCAAAGTCCGGCAGTGGGGTTCCAACCTCGCTGTGCCGGATGGTCCATGCGGTTCTGACCCCCCAAAATCTCGAGCTGGCTCACCTCCTGCTGCCGATGCGTGGGTTGGCTCAGTCCTTCTACATCTCACTGATCCTCAGAACCTCACTAGCGTCGACCGGGCATTCTGGATGTCCTTTATCCTGCCCTCCTGCAGAAGCCCTTTACCCTTCTATATGCGATGCATCCGAAGAGTGTGGCTCTGTGTGTACAAGCCTGCAGTCAGCCCCGCTTTACCTCAATTAGGGGACTAGTGAGCCATCCTCTCCCCCCGAGAGATCAGCGCTGTTTCATCAGAACAGCCGGTGTCTCATTACCTCACAGTTTATATGCATATTGTGTAGAAGGGCAGCCAGGATGGTTAATCATCAATACCTAATTTGGACGGTGGCCTGTTCATGTTGTTGGGCAGAGTTGCAAAGTTGGGCAGTTTTCTTTTTAAAGGCTAAGCATATGTTGCCTCATTTACAGCATCCGGTACATCACAGTGTTGACAAGGATACAATTTGTCGTTGGCAGACATGCTTGTATGGCAGCTCGAATGATGTGCCTTAGCCAATGCTGCGTGTTGTTTCTTTAATCCCCCTCACTGTTCATCACCATAATTCCACTCTCATGTTCGAGTGTACCGCAGAATACATCCGCGGAGTGACGTTCTGTGTACACAGCTCCCCTCACTAGTAACCCTGAGCTGATGCTCCGGTATCGACATTCGGATCGCAGTTGGCATTGGAACACGAGGAATGTGGAAAATTCAGGCTCCGCTTTCAGCTGATTTCATTGAGATTTTTGAATCGTTTTATAGATCCAGTACAAAGAAAAACAATTGTAAATCTGCTTCTTTTTCATTTTGCAAAGTTTGTGGAAGGTTTAACTATTGTATGCATAGATGAATGGTAATATAATGTATATGCTATATAAAGCAATAAAAATATCTAAAAAGTCATCAAAGGCACACTATAATATAAGATTTAATAAAGATACAGCAGATCAGAGAGGGAAAGTGGGGCACATTTCAGTAACAAATATCGATAAAGCACAGCGAGACTCTAATATATGGGTGCAAGTATAATGCTGTATCATCTGTTATCAAAGCCATACATTTGCTTTGATATTATCAGCAGTATATGCTGACTTTATATGTACATACTATGTGAATATTTAACTGTGTGTTGTAGGAACCATAATTATCTGTGCTCTAAACTGTATAAAACCACCCTGGCATTTGTTCTTAAGGACTAATGAGACAAAATTTGAAATATTTGTGTCAAACTGCTGTGTATTGTGAGTCAGATGAGTGCATAAGTTCTAAATTTCTGGTTACCGCTGGTGACAGAGTTGGTGATCTTTACTAAATCCATGACAATCTCAGACAGTATGACACAGCGAACTTCAAAGAGCATGACACGGTGTACTTCAAAGGTATGCTATTCCATCAGGATTACGGCAGTAGTCCTTCATTCTTCAGGAAAGAAGGGACCTAAAACACAGCTCACAACTGCCACAGAACTATGGCAAAGAAGGAAAGTGAATATCAACTCAAAGTAATGCCCTGACTTACCTGGCCTGCGGACCTCAGTCTGATTAAACTTTTATGGAATGGACAGAACGGTCAAAGCAAAACAGCCCTGCATCTCTTAGGATCGCTGCGGAAGAGCATGTTGAGTGATATCCTTCTGAAGCTTTGTGTTTGTAAAGCTGTTATCAGAGCAAAGGGTGGCCGTTTTGTGGAATCCAGGAATTCGCCAATTCTTAAACTTTTCGAACGCTGCTTTGGTATTACATACTGTACAGTTTGTTTCGTGCATTGCCATGTATTTTTAATAGGAAAATATTTACATACAAATATAATGTAAAGCATTTTCAGGACCTATTTTCCCCGGTGAAATACATGTATATGCATTGAATATGTTTATTTCCGCGGGTGAAACATTTGCATCTTTATGGACATTGTGGGCGGCCCAGTGGGGGGCTGTGCTGCCTCACACTTCCAAGGCTGGACCTCTGAACGACGCCTCTCTGTGTGTGAAGTTTCCATGTCCTCCCTGGGTAGTGAGTGTTTCCTTCTACAAGTACAAAGACGTGCAGTTAATTAGTGTTTCTAAATTGCCCATAGTGTGTATGCCTCAGGAGTGTCACTCTGAAGGGGGGGGG